CGCATGTGACAATCCGGTCTGAAGCAAGTTTGTGCACGCACCTTCCGCGGAGGAGCGGACCGCACATTCTGCTGTCACTGGATTGATGCATGGAGGCCTTGCTGAGCTCATAACGCCAACCTAAGGAAGAAACAGCCTTGACTAACTCTTTAGGGTTGTCGCCATGAAAAAATCTTTGTGGGTCGCGGCTAAATGTGAAATGGGTGACTTCCCTGTAACACTCTTCCTCTGATTTGAGAGCAGTGGTAAGCATGCATGAAGGTAGTAGCCACATCTTTTATCATAAGCGCAAGTCTGGAATCCTCGATTACACTCTCATTATCACGATAGATGACTACGTGATCGGCAGTGATGTGATCTCCGAACTCCTTGGCCTCCTTTGCAGTAACTCCTTTGCCGGAATAAGACGGAATCTTACACATCTTAGCCTGCTGACAGACTTCACAGAAAGGATTCTTTGGTGTGTGACAGAATAGATGTTTGGCGGACTTAGCTTCCTTCTTGAGCGCCTAAATCCCTATACTTCTCTTCTCTCCTTCTGCTTTGGATTCAGAACGCGGAGCCTCTGAGGAAGGCTTCTCTGGAGGAGGTTCAGATCCGACATCTGGGGCGCTGACCGGTCCTTTCGGAGGTCGACCACTACGCGACGGAACTTCAGCTTCGACATCTGTCGCCATCGAGAAAACCTGCGATGTAATCAGCATCCTCAAGCATATCCTCCGACGGAGGATGGATGATTTCTTCTGTTTTCTTTTTGGGCGAAGGTTTGATCGTCACTTCAGGCTTGGTTCGCGGAGGGATCGAATTTGGCTTGGTCTTGTTGATTTCGTAAAGCTCAAATAGGGTGAGGCTCAAATAGGGTGAGGTCTTCATCAGGATCAACTAGTTTGGGCGCTGGCGATGAAGGTAGACTTGTCTTTTGAATCACAAAGCCAAACCTCCGCAACACCTCAAATTCTTCGCCTGTCAACTTGTGACATGCCCTATTCGTGTATGCAGTGATTGACCATCGATTTCCAACGCAACGGTAATCCTTCGGATGGAACCTGACAAGCTTGTTCATGGTGTCCACGATTCGTCCCAGACACATAGAACCGCCTGGCAGTTTCGTTCGAACGCCGTCTCCTTGTACACTGTCATCCTTGATCCAGAGACCCCTTCGTTGCAATCGCCTACCCCTAGGGCAAAGTTGACAGAGTCGCACTTGTTATGGGCATCCTTGTGAACCTTGACTGGTGACCCATGATTGACGCAGATCGACGAGAAAGGTTCATCTACACCCTTGGACATCATGTACGCACAGAGATATTTGGTTAGCTCAGGGTGATCCTTGGTCTTATTGGTAATGCCTGCAACGCCGCCATGACAAAAGACTCCTAAGAGGCAAACTGTGCAGAACCGCTAGGTTCGCGCGCTTTACTGGTGATTGCTGAGCGCTGGGCACCTGGACCCTTGAACCTCGCCTTGCTAATCACTTCCATGCACGACTTATGACTGAAGTCTTGGTATGTCAAGAGCTTCTTTACGAGCAACTCTGATTCATCCTAAGCCGGACCTCTCCTTGCAGCGGCCGTTTGTTCTGAACAGCGCGGTACGCGTGAGGCAGGGACTGCAGTGTTTCCGGGCCACGATTTGAGGTAAGGAACGTTATCCCTGACATTAAGGTAGATCCTTTCACCTTGAACGTCTTTTGGTATGGTCTGCTATATGCCTTCCACACAAAGTCAAAACCTTCATCCATGCATCTTTGTCCTATCGATAAAACAGCGGGGGTCTCTGGTAGTACATAAGGATCGGACACTATTCCTATGGAAGGGACATTGACTGCAAATTGCTTGTCAGATGAGCTAGGACAGTTGGCTGTCATTATATTGATTGGATGATCCGATTCCCTTGCCTTCATCCCCGAAAGATCGCGCTCTGAAATGAGATCTTGAGCACTCCCCGCATCCCCTATCCATTCAATGTCCGGAATAGGAAGTTTGCTGGAACTGCGGGCAGGACATGTGACCGTTAGGTCCGCGGGAATGCAATGTTTACATCCGAACTCTGCATCGCACTCATCTTTGCTCTTGGCAGGAACATGAGGCGAATGCTGAACAATGGTAGCCCGGCGCATCTTTGCGGGAACTTGCGCGTCTGCAAGGGATTGATGACAGTTGGGTGGTTTGTAACCAAGGGGAAACTCCTTTTCATAGTGCCTCGGATTTTCACCAACCTTTGTCAACTCGTAATCGCCATAATCCCCGATCGGTACGTTCATGTACTCAGGAACATGGTTGAAGCTTACAGCGGCAAGTGCTGGGTATGCAAGAACGGAATTATGATGTAGGTGATCTGGCAAACCTGGCCGGAGAATGATGCATCGACCTGAGGCACCGAACCAGCCAGCATAGCTCCTAGGAGGCAGACGGCGGCTGGGATTAAAGGTCGGGGAGTACCCTTGCCTGAGCCCTTGCTACCTTTAGAACCTTGAGAACTTTTGCTGCTCTTCGAGCTGCGACGACTCTTGGAACTACGAGAGATAGACCTGGAGGACTTGCGTCCTTTCTTTCCCTTCTTGTTATCCGTCTTTCCGTTTCTATGTCTGCTCTTATCCCTCTTGCTTCCCCCAGATTCAACGTCTGATGCAGCAGGTGTGCTTGGCTTACCCCTGTGAAGGAATCTACAGTTGTCCCCTCGATCGCATCTGCCTTGCTTGAACAACTTACAAATCTGACTGACCTTGCTTTCTCCGGCACTACTTTGCAATCGGGAAGGCCCTCCTTTTGCCTTTACCTGGCTTGCGACCTCGCTCTTGGGGTACCTCATGCTTGAACTTGCAGCTGTCACCTTTGTTACGTGTATCATGGTTTACGAAAGAGAAGCAGTAGCCTTTTGGCACGCAAGCAGCGGCTGGAGCAGGAGCGCCTGTTTGCCTGGCAATCCTTTCACGATTCTTCTCAAGCCGCGTCATACAAGAATTTGTAAGACCGTTGTGTGGAACCCTCTGCAGCTCTGTCATGCATGTTAATGTCACACTGAAGCGCTCTGCACTTGACTTGGCGATGAAAGAAGGGCTTCAAGGAATGACTCATCTGGCAATTTCTGGATCCCTGAAAAAACGGCTTCCCAATTCCTCAAGAACGTAACAAGATTCTCGTTCACGAGACTAACCGAGAGCAAGTCCTCTACATCATAAACTGATCCGTGAAGGGCATTGGTCGCAAAGAACTCATGAAGCTTGGAAAGGACTTGACGACCTCGCACTAACCTGTTAGCATTAGCCTCTTCATCCTTAAGGGTGTCCATTGCCTTGCAAAGTCTCCCTCAAGGATGTCGGTAACAGCCGACAGAACCTCAAGCGTCCCAGGTAGCGAACCCTTTCGGGTCGCGAAGACCTTCTTCCGTTGTATCCTTATCCCAAACTGCGCTCAACCAAACAAAAGCAAGGTCGGGCTGAGCTGATGCGGCACCCACTGCCTCGCGGACACGAATCTTCCAGCTGCGATACTGTTCTGGAAGCGCGAATATGGGAAACACCATCTTCCCAGCTTCTTTGGGCTTCTTCTTAGGCTTCTCATCTTTGTCAGCGGCATCATCGTCACTTTCATCCTTCTCGTTCTTCTTTGACTTAGCCATTTTCTCCAGGGCCTTAGCAATCTTTGTTGCTATGTCGGTAGAAGACGAGGAGTCGCTTGACGAGTCTCGCTTCTTCTTCTTTTTGCTCTTTTTCTTGTCCTGTCGCCTTCGCCTTTCATCATCTTCATGTTCATCATCTTTATCATTACTATCCCCACGCGGAGGACTTGGAGGTCCTTGTGGAGGAGGTCCAGGCCTTAAACCTGGAGATGAGATTCTAAAGTGCTCTGGGGGATTCAGGGACCCGATACTACCTTCCGGCAATGGGCCAACGAAAAGGCCTGCGGCGCTACGGTCCAGCACAGGGGTTGGAGCCCTTACAAATTCTCCCTCTTGTCTTAACCTAGAGGCTTCACGCTCTTCTGTTAGGCTAACCGTCATAGAAGACAACTCCATAACCTGGGCGGCATGCTCTTCGTCGCGGATACAGGCCTTGGCTTCCGCCCGGCGGGTTTGTGCCTGGAACTGGTAAAGCTGGTCGGCCAACGTTTTTTCGGCACTGAGCAGCGAATCTTCGCAGTTCAGACACTTCCATCTCGTACTGATTCCCTATACTGTGAGCTTGATCAAGTTGTAGCTGGCCGTGTTGAAGCCTTGCTTCACTTTCACGTATAGCACAAGCAAACTGATTGCTAGCTTCGGACTGGGACACCGGCGGCATCGGCCGTTAACCTGGTGGCCTCCGAGGGTGCCGTCAACGCCGGAGTAGCGGTCCCTGGTGGCTGGCCGTGGTTGGTGGAGCTTGACCTACCGAGATAGGAATGCCTGCAGGATTGTGGGGAGGCATAGCAGGGGACGTAAACATTGCGGGATCTAGGCTACGGCTTATAACCTAAAGTTACCAGCAAAACACCTGAAAAAAAACTTTTGTCTTGAGCCATACCGTCATATTTCGGAATTACAGTTATACCCCTTTATAATCCCTTACCGCTGAAGTGGACATCAATATTGTCATCGCTTTTATCGTTATTCTCACTATTCATATTATTGATCTTCCCACTGCCATTGTTGTTGTTGTTGTTGTTGTTGTTGCGGTTTGGAAGGGCCTTGCTGCTCTGCTCAAGCTACTTTCGACCACCGACTATCAACAGGCGGGAAGCTGCTTCCAACGTGATTTTGCTTCCAGCCTGGTTTTCAGTAGAGAAGACCGTACTCCCATGTTCATACAACGCACAAAGCCTGCAAGAGTTGAATACTGTTTGATAGAGGGGTGTAGTATACGATGCTTCTGCTATCGCGCATCGGACGACCTCCAGAATATCGCAGGCCAGGTCCAAAGCACTCTACACCGATCTGACTTCTTTTCCGTGGGGCGATCAAATTCGTTCTGAGGCTTGAGTTCTTTGATGCACAAATGCATGGTTTGAGCAACCTCCCTCCTCCGTGAGGACCCCGGTCAGGGCGACGGAAAACCACAGCGTACCAGTCACGAAAACCAGGGGCAGCACCATCAAAGCAGGCATGAGCCTCGACCCCAGGCGCTAGGGCAGAAGGATTCAAATTCCTGCTGCCAGCTTACATTTAAGGATCCGCTAGGTTGCAAAAATGAAGCTCCAAAAATTCTTCTACTTGAAAGCCTGTTGGCCTGCTAAGGAGCAGCAGTATAGTGACAGCAATCGCAAAAAGAGCAATAACAATGCCCATAAAATCAATATTGGGACCCTAGTAAGGAGAATCATCATAATGACAATAAACACAACAAGAGGAATAACAAATGCCCATAAAAACAGTATTGACAGTATTTATTGTGCAGGTACAAGGAGCCAATACGACTCGACAGCTTTCCTTTGGTGCAAGCGCATGCCCAGGGCGGCAAGCTTCATAGCGAAGCCCGATGCAAAAAGGCAAGCGGTCCTACGCCACAGCATGACCACATAGCAGGGGGAATGCATGTATAGATGGATTCTTGTGGGGGTGGGCTTGGTTATTCCAATGTTATCCTTTCTTATCTACTACCCTCCACAATACGACATATTCCCCATTTTTTTGCCTCTTGGGGATGTTGTCTATCATACAGCAATTGGAATATCTGATGCTAGGGGGTGGGGGTTGTGATACAAACACCACAAATTAGCGGTCCTGTTTCGGGGTTTTTTATGAGCAATATAGCATATTGGGTTAACATTGGGCGTACACTGCCCTTACCACAACACGTACTGTCAGCATTGCCATTGCTGCTTTGACCATTGTTGTTATTAGAGTAATTGGATTGTTATTTCAGTTTTCCTTTACCTTCCCTTATCTGCCCCTATACAATGCCTTTCTGGATTATTTTCCACAGTCTACTAAAACATGCTAGCTGATTTTGGAGCTGGCTTCTTCCATCATCGACAACCAAGTGGGAGTTGTGATACAAACACGCCAGATTAGACGTCCTGTTTGGGGGCGTTCTGTATAATGCGCGGTATAATCTTTTGGGTTAACATTGGGCGTACGCTGCCCTAACCACAATATGTACTGTCAGTATTGTCATTGTTGATGTGACTATTGCTGTAATTACAATGATTGTTAAATAAGATTGTAACTTGATTTTTCTTGTCCATTCCCTTATCTGGCTCTATACAATGCCTTTCTGGGCGTTTTTGTTTTCAGAGTACAAAAACATGCTGGCTGATTTTGGAGCTGGCTTATAGCATTATCGACAACCAAGAAAAAGCCAGCCCATGGCAATGCAGGCCAAGTATACTGGCAGTCCCGAAGCACGCCCAGTTCATCAGGACTCGCAAGGTCACAGTGAAGAGAGCCCAGCCATCCAGTCCAGGAACTTGTGACCACCAACGAGGGATAAAGATACACAGCGAAGGGTGGCTAGCCGTAGTGACCGCAAAGATGATGTAGCGCACGGGAAGCCCAGTTGCTTCAAGGTTTGGCACAATTTGCGGCGCCAGCTCTGCGCGAACAAGGGTGTTGAACCTGTCCAGATGATCCCCATCCATCTTTCCTGCAATGATTCAATGGCAGTGCTTTCAACTCACATTATCATCACTAGGCGGTATAACTGACAAACTTGTGGTTTCCACAAATTCCGGGTACGCTTTCGGGGCCCCCTCCTCCTTCTGAGGTCTCATTGGTGATGTACCACTTCTTCAGAGATTGGAAGACCTGAGGGGGGCGTCGTAGGAGGCTTGAGGGCATGCCTCCCTGGGCGAGCTCGAATGCGTATGCGGGAACTGCTAACTGTTTCCACGGCCTCCTTCAAACTATGAGATCTATAGGAGACTTCATCGAAAATGGGATATATCTTGTCCACACCCAAACAGTGGAGTTGCTAGGTTTTAAGAAGTCCATGCTCTTTTTCTCCTCCGCGCACTGCCCAACCGCAGAGCATCCAACCGCCAAGCATGCCTTCAGTGCCCAACCGAAGACTATCCGCAGAGTATCCCCGTGCCCTGCAGTGCCACAATGCCCTCAACCGCATGCCGAACCACAGAGTATCTGCAGTGGGCAACCGCAGAGTATCCCTGCACTGCCCAACCGCAAAATGTCCCTGCAGTGCCACCTGGCTCAACCGTGAAGTATCCCCATCGTGCACTTTCTGCTAGTTGTTTTTTGAAAGTGAAAGGAAGACAAGCACTACTGCTGCTGCTGCTGCTGCTGCTGCTGAAACTTCTGCCGCTGCGGCTACCACTGTTGCTACCACTACTACTCCTACTACGACGACGACGACGACTGCTACTGCTGCGGCGACGAGGAGGACGAGGACGAGTACTATTTCAGAAGTAGTGGAAGCGCATGTGGGGGTGCCTGGACACTGCGTGCCTGCGTGTTTCCCGAAGCTTCAAATGCGTCAGGTCAACACCCCGGTCTGTTGTCCAAACCCTCAATGTGAATTCATAGAACCGAAAACCCTCGTTGGAAAACACCCGCACCATTGACCGGTCGCATGGCAAGGTCTGCCCAGTCGTCGGGTGCTTGTGGTTGTTGGAGCAGCAATAGCATTTGGCATCCTGCAGGCGAAGCTAGGCTACCACAAGCTGCCACAACCATGATCCGGCAAGCACGCGTAACGCGAAGCCAACGATAAAGCTGGATGAAGACTTATCTTGTTTTGCGGTTGTGGGGTTGAAGTTATCCTTCCTGAAGATTTATCAAGTCCCGCCTGAACTAGTTTTCACGACATCCCATCCAACTCATTAATCCGTGCGATAACTCTAGAGATGCAAAAACCAAACTCAAAAAAGACATGCCTCACATGATCCGTAGCTGATGACTCTACTATCTGATCAAGTGCCAGAGCCCGTCTTAGCATCAAAGCCTGGAAGTCTTCATGTACTTGGGCGGGCACGAAATTAACGTTCCAACACGTCCAATGATATGGACTGCACTATTCAACAGTTTCATATCCAGTTGCAACTGAAAGGCTTCCGTCGAACTTGGCTAACGGTAACTTTTCTCAACCTTGCATTTGCTCCATGACTAGTGGATCACAGGCATTGCAAAAAATCGACCAATGTCGGCAACAAAGATACGAGGTTGCTGGCAAATTAAGGAACCATTCTGCCCAAAGCATAACTTTCCTCACAACCTGTCGCACCAGATGCCGGCGAAGCGCCCACACAACAAAGCATGCACACACCGGGCACATGTCTTACCGAGCAAAACGCATATAAGCAACAAACTCTACCACATGCGTACTCGAGTGGGTGCGAACTTCTGCCATGTTGAAATGTCAATGCTGTTGTGGTGATTTCCAACCATACTGTGGGACATCGGCTGGCTGGAATACCAGGCCGCTTCACCATGATGGACTCATAGCTAGGCCACGGCTGGAAAGCATCGACAATTACCTTGCATGCCTTCACGGCAGGCAAACCTATCAGCAAGGTAGCCAACACAGACGGTCCTGCACTCGAAAGTCGGTCAGCTGGCGGGGGAGCTCTGCCAAGTCTTCCATGAAGCCTTGGCCTTACGAAACAAAGCTTGGAAAAGATTTACTATGCCCAGAAGGACTAACGTTCAAGTCTTCCATAGAAATACACACACATGACTTTCCTTTCCTTGGCACCGCTACTTGTCAAATAAGGCTTGAAATGACTACCAGATCCCTTCTACATCGACAATCCTGCCCCGGGGAAACAGCAGAAGCGGTCTTACGGTAATGACTTTTGGGGGATCCCACGTGGTCACAAATATCTCAGCAAGAGACCCCCAAACCGATGGCTTAACGTATCACAATGCGAATGCTTAAGCAAACGCAATGCACCAGCAGCTACAAAGTGTTGGAGGTTTAGGGTTTAAAGTTTTTGTGCTGGGATTTAGGTTTTAGGTTGCTGAAGTTATGGGTTCAACAGTAAAACGTCAGGCTTTGGCTTCGATCGTATAATTTCTGCCGAACGTCGGTACAATCAGAATGCTGGTTTTCAAAGGGTCTCGTTTTGGGCCCCGGCTTGTTATACCAGAACAGTCATCAGAATCGTACGGGTACAGAATGGGTACAGAATGATGCAATTGCACTTTGCTGTTTCCCCCAATAACAAACACCGGGAAATGATGTAGCTGTTAAGACCAACTATGGGAGCCCAACAAGCTCCAGGGAGTCTGAAAAGATCACTTTGAAAATGATCATGTTAGGGCAGTACAGTGTTGTTACCTTGCCAATAATAGCGGCGGGGGCCCCAGCATGATAAGAGCTTTGAAGAAAAAGGTTTGGCGACTCAGACCTGCTGGTCTCATAAAAGTAATGACAATAATAATAGCAATTATAGCAAGAATAAATATAATGTAGTAACAGTGCTAATAATGATAATAATAGGTATGCACGCCCCCTGGTTTCTAAAACCGCCCTTTGAGCGATGGAGGAGGCAAACGTTCACCAGGCAGACGCTTTGCAGACTATTAAATATGGATCCTGGCTTTCCAGCACTCTTTATCCGAGGACATGACAAAAATCCCTTCTCAGCTAGCCCTCTCGGAATGCCAGCTTGTGTGTGTGCGTGTGCGCATACATACACCTGTAAGAGAACGCCGACGTCAATGTACCTGTGTCTGTTTTTCATACGTATGGACATGCACTCATCTGGGAGCACACCCCTGCGTTTGACTTTGACCACACGTGTATATACAGACTTGTTCCGCAAGCTGCAACATTGCTGTTGCTCCTACTATCCTACCCTGCTACTCCTCCTCAATCCCAAGCCCAAAGCGAAAGTGACTCATCCCCTCCTCCTTCCCATGAAGACCAGGCACACACAAGAAATCCACGAGACCGCTCAACATCTAGAGCTCCCGCCCCCTCACGCCCTCTTGGTCCCTGACCTATAGTCCCCCTTAAGTAGATAGGATATGGCTCTAGGTATATTATAAGATCCCCATATACCCCATATTCTATCTACTTAAGGGGGACTATGTCACTATGTGCCCGAGCCTCTAAAAATGAAACTGGAATGCCTCTGCTATGAGATCTGATGTAACCATGAACCCAGATGCAAACACGAGCTTCGAAGCTCTCAGTTGCAGCCACCCATATCCACCCCTCCCACTCTTCAACAGCTGCCGTGAAAATTCGCAGGCGAATGCAACGTTTTCTTTATCCTCAGACACCCTTCTACTCCGCAATCAGGGTTCAATGCCAGAAGGGAGCGCGCTCTTGCTTACCTAGAGTTTCTGTCATAGTGCCGCTCACGCCTTTGCACTTCCTCTCGGCCCCCTCGAATTCCGATAAACTCGTATCATGCTTAAGCGCAAATGGTTGCCAGGCACAGTGATGAACCTGAACTTCAACCCCCAAATGGGACTTGCGTGGCTGTCACGTGACTAGTGCGGGACCTTTGCGACAATGCTCTTGTTAAACCCGTCTGTCGCAGTGCAAGCGGCCCAGGTAGAGCACGAACGGCACCACCAGCATGGCCACGGCCTGGGGCTGGGAGCTGTTTTGCTTGCTCCTGCGTGTGTTTGTATGACACGCGCAAACGCGCGCAGACACGAGCGAATGTACAGGCCACATACGTATGGCCGACGTGTGTATACACACACTCGAACTATCTATCTATTTATCTATCTGTCTATCTCTATCTATATACATATATATATATATACATGGGCGTAGGCTTCGGCTTCTTCAGTGCTTGGCCCTGGTCCCAGTTATCATTGGTAATTGCAGGCGGCGGGGTTTTGAGGATTTTGGGATTGTTTGCTGGAAATCTGGAAATGGTAGGAGTTTGGGGTTGTCAAAGCTCGCGGTAGTTTGGAATTGGCAGAAGACATTGTTGTTTTTATTTAGCACCCCCCCAACTTCCCATGAATCTCCAAGTGGGCACCAAACACGCAAACTAGCGGTGCAGGTGGATCGGTTACATGAGAATGGCCCACCCAACAGTCCTTGAACATTTTTTGCCACATGCCTGGCCGAAGCAGCCCAAGGGCACAATCCGGGCGAGGCAACATAACAGGTGGAAAAGATTCTGACTGTAACCACGTCGCTTTTCAACCCATAGATGACACATCTGTACAACATCCCAAGTAGGCAGCATCCCCGGCCTGGCCAGCCCACATGCATGCCGGGCGAACTCAGAAGCCAGGCGAGGCAGCATATCACATCGAGGGGGTGCTGACTGGAAGCATGAAAACCTATTAACCTATACATGAACCATTCCCGCAAGGCAGCATCCCCGACGTAGCCAGCAGATATCCAGCAGGCGAGCCAAGAGACAAGAAAAACCCAGCTGCAAAAGGGCGCATGCCAACCTAGCACCCAGGCGACACCGGTGACACCCAACCTGCCAGGATCTATGGCTAGGCCAGGCGGAGATGCCAGGAGGAGACAATCATAATTTTACCACAAGACGCGCCCCATAGAGTTCTGCCGATGGACTCTACGGCCAGCAAAGCTCGGGCTCCAACCTCGTACCCAGCCGGGGAAGACTACACAACATGCCGTCCACCCAAGCGGCGTGCCAGGATCTACGGCAAGGCCAGGCGAAAGCGAGCGCACTTGACAGACGTGAATCGAGGTCCTGATCGTACCACACCAGGAAATGTCCCAATACGGTGCTGAAGCCGACATGGGCTGCACGTCAGTACAATCCCGGCAGCAGGGCGAGCAGTGCAATACGTGTAGGCCGTGAATGCAACCTGGTACGCCAACTCGAGAGCACGCACCAGGTCACGGAAAGTCCAGGACAGAAACCTTTGATGCTCGAGCGGAGGCCTACGGAGCACACCCCACACGGTCGACCGTGCAGATTCCCATCAAACCCCAAGGCTAGCATCAATGCATTCTATTGGCAGCGGCAACGCCATCAATCGAGCATGTACTGCATCGTTTAGGGTTTAGGGTCTGGATTGTGTGGCCGCATTATGTTTATGCAGGCAACCAGCAGCTTCAGCACAGTCAATGGACGATGCGCCGGACACGTTACGAATGCGTGCGGGCCTCCGGCTAGCTGAAGAACCCTAGCAACCCCAATGTTCCTACCCGCGCACTGCCACACATAGAGCCTGCCAGGGAACCTGCTCCTGTGTGACCTGTGTGTCCATAGTCGTGTGAAAGTAGTGAGCCCAATTTCCAGCTGCTTGACTGCCATGGCGAATGAGGATGGAACAGGTCCCTGGCCTCCAGTACACTTCCTGATTGAGGAAGCCGAGAGCTTTCTAGGCGGAGTCTGCCCATTCGGGTGTCTAGGCGCTTGGATTGCTGACCGGGATGAGCTCATGCTTCCACAGCAGTGCCATTCAATACAGGTGGGCGGGGCGCGGCGGGTGCCTAACAGCCTGGTCTGATACTTTGAATTCTTGCTGCCTTGCACCTATGTGTATATGCCTGGACGTGTGCATGTTCCTGTGCTGCTTTTTTTACGCAAACGCTACCTTATCGCCTTCATCTCATGATTAGTGGCTGAGTGTGGTTCTTCAGCTCTTGTGAGCTGCAGCCTGTTGCCTGACAATTGAAGAAGTTGCGCTGAGTAGGGAATGTAGGAATGAATGACAGTGGGCATCCTTGGTGACCAAACGAAGAGAGAGAGAGAGAGAGAGAGTGCGCGTGTACATGTGTGAACGTGAGACAGAGAACTTGCAAAGCGTTTTCATCCTCGCAGACACGTGCTGGCAGACATCTTGATGCTGACGACCTGTACCCGTGAAATATGGGAGCAGCGCAATTACAGCCGCGCAAGTATACACGCGATCTTCCTGAAACGGGATCCTGATAATGAACGCTCATGTCTCACAGTGTGCTGACGATCACAACACATTCGGACCTTGCGCATCAAGGCTTTGAACCCCTTCCAGCCCATGCCTACAAGACCTGCACCTGGACCCCAAAGTACCTCTCAGAATCATCCTTGTGGCTACAAAACAATACTAATAATGATAGTACAACTGCTAATAACAATAATAAGAACGATAATAACACTTATGGTAATAATGATAATAATAGTAGTAAGACCTTACACCCTTTGCAGCAACCCTTGGATTCGAGGCCCGGGCCAACAGGAGGCCGGAGGTTGTCACCATTGTCACCAGGCCTTCGCCTCGTTGGGCCTGGCAGGCTTTCACCACGGTCTCTCAAGTCCGTATGGTACGGAGCCAGTTATTCTAGAAGATGTGACGGATATCATGTTTCCATACAAAATGCATCTTTTCAAGCATGCTCTGCAGAAGGGTTGCCGTTTTAAGTGCCGGGGTCCAAGGATCCAGGAGGTGCTCCAAGATTGTTGAGCCTGTGTCCCCGAAGCGTTTGCGCCTCGCGCTCCAGTTGGGACTCTCCAGAGTGGCCATCCTCGTGAACGTCGTCGCTTTTGGACCCGTCGCTTCTGGACCATACAATCCGAAACATCAAGAATCAGACAGATAGGACCCACAGGGCCAGCATCCTTGTGATTGTCTGTCGTCGCGTTTAGACCCCGTGTCTTCGTTGCTAATCAAAAATCTCAACAGTCACCGTGATGCGGCATCGTCATCCTCGCAACTGGCGCCCCTTTTTTCTTTTGGCACGGACGTACACGTTAAAAGCCACCTAATTTTCAGGGAAAGCCAGGTACAGACATATGTTGAAACCACCCTTTTTCACCTTGCGAGAAGTAGAAAGACATGACGCAAGGAAAGGCAGGTACAGACATATGTTAAAACCGGCCCATTTATACCTTGCGACAAGTAGAAAGACATGACAGAGAAAGCCACGTACAGAAATAAGTCAAAGCCACCCCTTTTTCGCTTCACGAGAAGTGGAAAGACATGACACAGGGAAAGCCAGGTACTGACATATGTCAAAACCCATCCCTTTTCACCTTGCGAAAGATAAACGGACATAACAGAGAGAAAACCAAGGTACAGACATGCGTTTGAAACCACCCCTTCTTTCGCCTTGCAGTAAGTAGAAAGACATGACACAGGAAAAACCAAGGTACAAACATATGTTAAAACCACCCCTTTTCACCTTGCGACACGAAGAAAGACATGACACGTAGAAAGCCAGGTACAGACATATGTTAAAACCACCCGCTGTTTTACCTTGCGATAAGTAGAAGGACATGACAGAGGGAAAGCCATGTACAGAAATAAGTCGAAACCATATCTTTTTTCACCTTGCGACAAGTAGCAAGACAGGGAAAGCCAGGCACAGACATATGTTAAAACCAGCCCCTTTTCACCTTGCGATAAGTAGCCGCGGTAGAAAAACACGACACAGAGAAAGCCACGTAAACACATATGTTAAAACCAACCTGCTTCTTCCCGACGCACGCCTTCTTTTTCCCGACTCACGCTGCTTTTTCTTGACTCACGCCTATACCCTTGTTCCAGAGTCATGCTTTCCCTTTTTCCCGACTTACACCGCTTTTTCCCGACTCACACTTCTTTTTCCTGACTCATGTCTTGTTTTCCCAGCTCATGCCTCAACCCTTCACACACCACTCTCCGCTCTCCATTTTCCACGCTCCGCTCCACTCTTTATGGCGCCCACTTGACTCTCCACTCCACTCTCTACGCTCTGCGCTCCACTCTCCATTCTGAACTCTCCACCCTCTCTCGACTGCACACTCCAACTCCACACTCTATTCTCCACTCTCCGCTCTGCTCTCCACACGTCACTCTTCACGCCGCAATCCCCCACTTTTCTCTCCACTGTCCCTCTCCATTCTACACGCTCGCTTTCCGTACGCTTTAGTCTCCATTTCGCCTGCTACTGCACTTGCCACTCCACTTGCCACTCCACTTGCCACTCCGCTTTCCAATCCGCTTTCCGATCCGCTTTCCGATCCGGACACGCATGGTGGAAAATCGTGTGGTTTTAACAGATGTCCGTACCTGCCTTTCTCCTGACAGGTGGCTTTTTCCTGACTCCTGCCACATTTTCTTGATTTCTTTTTCCTGACTGGTGCCTTTTTCCTTGACTCCTGCTTCGTACGAATGTGAAGAATGGAGTGGGGATGGTGCAGGCTGAGCGGATAGTAGGAGAGTCGAGTGCGGAGCTAACAGGAAGTACAATGTAAAGCCCAGTGTGGAGAGTGGAGACTGAAGAGTACAATGGAGAGCGGATGGAGTGGAGTGGAGAATTTAAAGTGGAGAGTATTATGCCGAGCGCGATGATTTTAATCTACGCGAAATACTGTGTGCGATGCTCTTGATCTACGCGAATTACGCGTCGCATATCTGCATGTGGGCTCGTGACTTCCAGCAAAATTTAAGGAGAGATTTTGTACTGCCAGGTCTCGGGGACCCAGATGAACCCAATGACTTGTCTTCACAAAACATGCGTCCACAAAGTTCAAAGCGGCAATAGAACTATCCTACTCTCAAGGCTTCGTGATTTAAATGCTTGTGGCATGGAGATGAAGGCTTTGTTTGGGGAAAGATGAGGCTCAAAACACGAACAGCATAAATGCGTCTGAACCCTTTTTCATACTGACTTCCAGGAAAGACCTTGCGGAGGAAAATTAACTCCCAGCATAAACAATGCACAGCTTGTTTGTGAAAAGGTCGGGATGGACATCCTGAATCAGATGCGCCTGGCTGGCCATATAAAAAGCCGAACAGCCGAAGCCCAGCATGTGCCAGAAGATAGATCCAAGGATGACTGACGCTCCCAGCTTGAGCGGCATGAACTGGATGTGTCCTCTTTGCTCCGGGTCTTTCATGAAAGTGGCGATCTCGAATGCGCACCATAAACGGCTAAAATACCTCACTTGTTGTTGTTGTTGTTGTTGAAGAAAATGACGACAGCCTAAAACACCTCACGCGTGCACTTATTGACTTTGACCATTGACCCAAAGGCCTACACCTGCAACTTCAAAACGACTGGGCTGCTGGTAAGGAACTTAAATTAAATTGCCATAATGGGTATATGTAGTAAATAATAGGACGAACACCTGCCAGTTGGTAGTTTCCCAAAATTAGGGGGATCCCAATAGAGACCCAAGTATACTATAGTCTTATTATAGGGATCCCTGAAATAGTACCCAAAAGCAAAACCGTCACCTCAACGCCAAACCCAAAAATGAACTGAACAGGAGTCGCGGGGCCGCGGAGTCCAGAGAACCACCAGGCTCTTGCTGTTCACCACGAAAGCAGCCAAGCCCAGGATGCCCTTCTTCTTGAGCCTTGAAGGAGCTGTCTAAACTCGTTATATGAGCTAGAGTCTAAACTCCTTAAAGGGGGGTTATATAGGGGATTATATAGGGGATTACTATAGGGGTTATTAAGGGGGATACAAGGGGTTTAGACTATAGCTCATATCCCCCTGAAGCCCTATAATAGGACCCATTTCAAATCCCCTTCTTTGTATCTCCTCTAAACATGATGCCTTCTTCAAAGCGGGATCCCTTGTTGAGGGGGGTCCTTGTTACGTTTTGCGATATGCATCTACCGTTGGTAATACCCTGGTGCATCCCCAACCCTGACAGATTTGAGACGAGCATGTTCCCATTCTCCCCCTATCCTTTCTTTCGCATGCCTGACCAACCTGCACCATAATTCCCGATGCTATCCCAGGTGCTTCTCATCGTGCTGCGCGATGCACAAAACGTCCAAGAAGACCATGAGTGGACGGCCAAACAAAGCCCGAATCCGTTGCCAGAAGCACAGCACAAAAAAGAAGCTGAAATGTCCAAACAGCGGAGTCCACAAGCTGTGGGGCAGCAGCTCGCAAGCAACCAGGATGCCCACCAGAAGGCTTGTGGCCAAAGAAGTACAGAATGCAGGCCCAGAGTTGTGAAGGACGAGCAAGGACATCAGCTTCAACCACCGGCTGGAAGCCCAATCATGGCTTATGAAATGATCCAACCTGCTGGCAGACTTGCTAAGTTGATATTTCCTCGCGTCCACGTTGAACATGCCGTCATCGGGTGTCCTCCAAGATGTGGGGCATTCAAGTGATATACGCAGGAACAAGACTCCGGCGCTACAAAAACGTGTTTGTACGGATACTGCCCAATTCTCACATGGCAAAAGGCAAGGGATCCCAAAAGGACTTAGCAATCGGAACACGCGATTACGCAACTGCAATCGCGGATGCGGCAACTGGAACGCATGGATTCGGCGGCAATGAAATGCGTGAATGCGGCATCTGCAACATGCGGATTTGGCAACAAGAACATGTAGATCCGGCGACTGGAATGGGCAGATTCGGCGACTGCACTGCCACGTATCAGAAACTGCAGCGTGCGGATCCGGCAAACGCAATTCTGCGGCAGCAACGTGCGGACTTGGCAAGTGCGTAGCCATTATCACCCAATGCTATCATGAATATCACTATCGCCTTCATTGCCTTGAAGTTTCTTGCGATAGGTATCTTACTCCGGTGCTACGAGTAATAAGGTCCAGTGAGATGGCCTTTTCAATTTCTTGAAGCCAGGTTTAGGATCTGGTTGAAGATAACCCTTCACAGAGATGGCATCGGCGCCATAAGGACGGTGAGCGGGGGCTCAAAATGGTTCGAAAATGTGAGAAAGCTCCATGCCAGAACCCAAATTCGAGGACACTCTGCGTGGGGGCTCCATGTACTGTCAAAATGCGAAAAAACGACCGAGCTCAATCTGTTAGGATGCTCTATATGGTAGGGCCAATTGGAATAGAGATGAGAAAAATACATGTTGAAATAATGATCAACCGAAGTGATAAAATGAGAAAACGCGCTATGATAATGAGGGAATCGTAATGGACTGAAAAGGGAATATCACTGGCATTAACAGTACTAATGCGCATAATCCTCCCTTACCATCCCTTACGGCAAACTTGGCAATGAAATGATTTCTTTACCGCAGGCATGAACCGTTTTGAAGAGCGCAGGGGTTAAGGGGGCGCAGCCCCCCACTTGCAAACAAAATGATCCGCACGCCCTTCCCCACCTGAAAGCATGGTGATGACTTGATGCATGGTAGCGGCAGGGATGCTTTGAGATGTCATGCATCTTCGAAATGGACCAAATCATGAGAGTGGCATGGATGCTCCGGGGATGGGATTCGCTCAGACATGGATGCTCTGGAATGGGATGCGCTGTCACCAGTCATGTGGGCCTGGATGATGTTGGGAACGGGATACCGTCAAGCATAATGCGACTCTTGTATGGGTCTATGGTGCGGGCATGGCATGAATGTTGTTTGAATCAGGAGGCAGTCATGCCCAGTGGAAATTCTTGTGTAACTCATGCACGTTCAAAAAGGACGTAATCATGGTATTGGCATGGATGCTCTGGAAATGGGATGCACCGAGCATGAACGTAGTCAAATGTGGGCCTGGATTTTTATTCTGGTATGGACATGGATGCGGAGGAATGGGATGCGCTCGAGCATGAACCTATGCGTCATGCGGCCATGGATGTTTTGGGCACGGGGTGCATGTGAGCAGGAAGGTAATTACGGCGCTTGAAGGGTGTAGGGGATGTATGTGAACAGGAGGGCAATTAATGTTACATACACATGGATCGTACAATATTTGTAATAATAGTACTTAACGGACGTGCGTGCATGGATGCTGCGGGCATGACATGTACCCGAGCATGGACATACACATGGAGTGGACGGAGGTTCTGGGACTCCGATAAATAAGTACAATTACTATTTTGACTGCTATTACTAGTATGACTATTAGTTCTATTGTTACAAATCTTGTACGATGTTCGTACGGACGCTCTGGGAATCGGACACGCTCCAGCATGGACATAAGTCTGGCAAGGGCATGCGCGCTTGTGGGATGGAATGCGCTGGAGCATGGACAGAAAAATGGTGCGGGCGTGGCTCGAGCAAGGATGTTATTGTGGTGTTTGCAAGGATCTTGTTCGACACAGGATACAGTCAAGCCTGGTCATAATCTCATATGGGCACGGGTGCTCTGTATGGGATGCACCCAAGTAGGACGTGCATTGGTATCTGCATGGATGCCCTGTACATCGGATGCATCAAAGTAATCCAAGCGTGGAAATGGATGCGGCAGGAATGGGATGCGCCCGAGCATGAACACAATTCTGTTCTAGTACATATTGTTGGGGCATGGATGTTGTGTGCAACGAGAAAGCATCAAGCAAGGAGGAGCTTGAACATGTGCATCATCATACTAGCTGCATGCATGCACTCCAGCATGAACGTAATCAAGGTGTGGGCATGGATGCTCTGGCAATTCATGCACTTGAAAACGGACGTAATTTTGGGATGCGCTCGAGCATGGAAGTAATCAGGGAGCAGGCGTGGATGGTGTGCGAACGGGATGTAGTCGAGCATGGATGTAATGACCATGTGGGCATGGATGTTGTGAAAACAAGATGCTGTCGAGGATGGAAGTATTCAGGGGCTGCTCTGGGGCAAGGACGGCATGGCTGTTCTGGGCACAGGATGCATTTCAGCGGACGTGACCACGGTGTCTGCATGGATGAGCTTGGCAACGGATGCACTCGAAAATGAACATGATTAAGGCGCGTGTGCGCGCACGCGAAAAGGGACATGATAACTTTTGCAACCCGGACCTTGTCTCCTGAATGCCGGCACACACTGGAGGCACCACTCGTGCTCGACACCCCGTTGCGACTACTGCTGGAGGCCCTTGTCCCAAGCGCACGGCAACTCACACAACATAAGCACGCATCGGTCCCCCCACCAGCAAAATCAACATCAAGCCACTGCAGGTAAACAAGCTTCTCACAGCGTCCCATTCCCAGAGCATCCATGTCCATACTGGAAATACGACTATGTTTGACTTTATCCTTTTTCCAAACCACCTACATGCCCGCGCGATAAGTACCACAACAAAGTTACGTTCCTGCTCGAGTGCATATTATTCAAGAGCATCCATGCCCACGCTATAATACGTCCATGTTCGGCCGCCGAAGACGTCTATTCCCACATCCTGGTTACATCCATGGTCCAGCGCATCCCAGCATCTATCCCCACATCATAATTCCTGGCTTCACCAAAAGGAAATCCTTGTGACTCTTTGCTTTGACCACCTAAGAGGTGCATTTCCGTTCTTCCTGATGATGGTGAGCCTTGTCTTTGCCTCGTTTGAACATAAGTGCAACCATGCTATCTGCGTGGGCATCGGATGCACTCGGGCATGAACGTCATCATGGATGCTCTGGGAGGTCATGCAGTTTCCAAACGGGCGTTATTATGGTAGGGGCACGGATGCTTTCGGAACGGGCGCTGGAACATGGACGGACTCAGGATGTGGGAACGCAAGTTGTGGGCACGGGATGCAGTCGAGCATGGACGTAAGGCTTGGTCGCCGCGTCGATGATTTTCTGACATTTGCTCAGATATGAGATTTGTTCACCCTGGGAACCTGCATGTGTGCATAGGTGGTTTATGCGATAAGCACATTCGACACATTTGGCCTGCGCCCTGAAAGGGCTGCGTTCGTGTGGCTGGCCTTACCTGGACATCGATACTCTGGGAGTAGGATACGCGCGAGCACGGATGTAATCGTGGTGTGGGCATGCATGAGACGGGTATGGTATGGACATGGATGCTCTGGGAATGGGGTGTTCTTGAGCTTGAGCATGAACGTTTGTAGCCTGTGGGGATGGATATTTTGGGCAGGTGGTGCATAGGAGCATGAAATTGACCGCAGTGTCTACAAGGATGCTCTGGGCATGGGGTGCATGTGACCCTAAAGGTGACCATGGGGTGCACATCGTAAACATGGAGTGGACGGATGCTCTGAGAATCAGATACGCTCGAACACGGACATAAGCACGCTTTGGGTATGGATGCTCGGGAATCGGACGCGCAGAACAACAAAAAATGGCATGAGCACGAATGTTCTCGGTATGAGATACGCTCAAGTATGGACGCAAATCTGGTGCAGATGTGGTTTGAGTATTCAGGACGCAGTCGAGCGTGGAAGTAACTCTGGTAGGAACACGGATGCTGTGGGTATAGGATGGGATGGACAGTGGACATGATTATGGTCTGGAGATGTGTGTGTTCGAAGCAGGGTATAGTCCAGCGGAGTCATATCTTGAAGGCGCCTGGATGCTCTGGGAATAGTACTTGTTCGACCACGGGCGTAATCATGCTATCTGCACGGATGTGTTGAGAATCGGTCCGCGCGAACATGAAAATCATCAATGTGTGAGCATTGATCCTTTGGGAACTGACGCACTTGAAATCGGACGTAAATGTGGGTAAGGGCATTGATGCTCTCGGAAACGGATGCGCTAGAGCAACGCGATCAGGATGCGGGCATGTTGCACACGGGATGCTCAAGATGTGGGCAAGGATGTGGAGAGAACGGGATGCAGTCAAGCATGGACATGCATGGATGTAATGTTGTGGGGCCGGGATGCAGTCCTGCTATCGTCCTGTGAACTACTGGATGAAGCGGGAGATGTATCAAGACCGCCAAGGCTGCCCGGAATCGGAGACGGATTCAGACGAGGAAGCATGGGCTCGTCGACAAGGAGAGACGTCTGGGACACAAGGGATCGCAACCGAATGTCAATGGCACAAGCACACCAAGCCGGCACAGCGAAGGGATGGTGCAGCTCGAGAAGACAAAGCCAGGGAAGAAGGGCATATGGAGAGCGCAAAGCCCTGCAAATGGACTAACGGACTAACTGAAGTACCGGGTTCTCTATATATAAGAGCACAAGCCAGATTTGAAAAGAACAGTACAGAAGAGGACGTGGTGGCCTTAGCTCTTCGTTTACGAAGGGCAGGGGCAGGCGTTGTAGAGGAGTGGCGAGTACAATGGCGAACTTTTTGTTTGAAGCAGCACCTAGAATGAAGACGGATGGGAATAATGGTACGGCGTGCAAGTGTGAGACAAGGGACAGGTACAGCGGATGTACAGAACAAACCGAACACCCAGCGAGGGAAGCAGATAATGTGAGGCTAGGAACA